GAAATAGTGGTAAAAATCAAGTGATAATACACCTTTAAAATCTGAGTGGAGTAGTCCTAAGCAGCCACATTAAATACTAGGAGGGTAATATTTACCTAGCATAAAAGATTCTATAAATTGGGTACATTGAATGAATGCATAAGCTAATACCTCCAGAGTGTCAGTGTATAAATGGTACATGGCTAAATGTATGCAGAGGCTGTGTATGGTTAGATCTTATCTACAGGATGTGAAGGCTGTAGTACGAGTAGCATGTCATCGGCAGGGTATGCCAGTGATTGTATCGTTTTTGTAACAAATTGAAACAAAGCCTTATATGATACTCAGTAAGAAAAACTACAAGAAAGAATAGAGGGAGGTCTGATCCCCTAAAGGGGGGGAGAGGACTACCCTGACCATTCAAAGAATGCCTCCTAATATTAAAAAGTCACATAAATTAGGGTATATAACCTTTATTGAAATACTTATAAAAAAATAGAAGTAAATATAAATATTGCCAAATGTATCCAATTGCAGTAAAAAGCTATTTTGGATGAAGGCCGCAGTGGAGGGTTGCTCTCAAATGAGGAATACTTTTTTATTTTGAACAATTATCCAAGGGTAGCAACCTTCTACTGCTTGCCAAAAGTCCATAAAGATTTGGAGGATCCACCGGGACGACCAATAGTGTCCGGAGTCGATAATTTGACCCAAAATGGTAGTCTCTATATCGACCAAATTCTTAGACCGTTTGTTGAAAAGCTCCCTTCTTACATCAGGGACACTAAGCAGGCACTCTCTTTACTCTCTAAAATCCATCTTGAATCATATCTGGTAAATGGTGCATTCAGAAAGTGGGTATGGTAAAAATGACTCCTCTCTGGGTAAGAAGACAGAGATCAGACAGAAGGTTATGAGCTCAATTTGTGTCTAGGCAGCCGGGAGGACTACCGGGATAGCTGACACCAGATATACTTCAAACTGTCAATATCATGCGGTTATCAGACGAAACTAATGACGGAGTCTTTCAGGTGAGTATCTTTCAACAAGATTGGCCAAAACTTCTGTACTGATTTCTTGACATCATTCCAGCCTGTGTCAAAAGTTCCAATCATTCTAATTGTTTTATTAGAGCTCTGCCCGTGACCACCTCCTGACCACTGCTCGTACCCGTACGGCCAACTCGAGCTTGCAGGACCTCTCGTGGACGGCTCCTTTCCTCTCATAATATTGTAAAGCGCTACGGAATCTGTTGGCGCTATATAAATGGAAATAATAATAATAATAATAATTGATGGGCTTATCTTCTCTAGGGTGATCAGAGAGCAAGTCATTTCGGTCAATTTCAAGGGCCATTTTGTATGCCCTTTTGAGACACTTGTTCAGGTACCCCTTTTCCTGGAATTGTTGTCTCAAAAGATTAGCATTGATTTTAAAATCTGATATGCCTGTACAATTCCTTCATATCCTCAGGTACTGCCCGACAGGTATACCTTGCTTTAATGGTTTCAGGTGAGACCGGATCTCCAGAAGGATATTGATACTTTGGAGAGAGATTAGAGAAGGGCTACTAAATTGGTTCATAGAGACGAGACGGGGGAAATGATAGAAACATATAAATACATAAAGAGAATAAACACAGTAAAGCAGGAGACTATATTTAAAAGAAGAAAAACTACAACAACAAGAGGACATAGTCTTAAATTAGAGGGGCAAAGGTTTAAAAATAATATCAGGAAGAAGTACTTCACTGAGAGGGTAGTGGATGCATGGAATAGCCTTCCAGCTGAAGTGGTAAAGGTTAACACAGTAAAGGAGTTTAAGCATGCATGGGATAGGCATAAGTCTATCCTAGCTATAAGATAAGGCCATGGACTAATGAAAGTATTTAGAAAATTAGGCAGAACAGGTGGGCCGAATGGTTCTTATCTGCCGTCACATTCTATGTTTCTATATTACACTATTTGTGGTGCTCTTTTATTATATATATAGTATACTCATATTTAATAAGACCTGCAGTGATTAACCATTGTAATTTTTCTAATTCCTCTTGAACTAAAATGTATGTTGGCTGTTAACCATATGACAGTGAAATATGAGAAAGCAACTTATCAGTGGTTTTCATATTCCATATTACTAGGAATAGTAAAAAAAAAAAAAAAAAAAAAGTGAGAGAATTTGAACTTTCCTTCTGAGTATATTTTTTTAGACATTCTACTGATTGCAAGATGAATGTACTTTAACTGAAGCTTCAATTTGAAGTTTTAATGATAATAATGATTTATATTCATAATGACTATATATAGCATTCTAATAATAATGCAAACTAAGTAATTTAAATGACATATTTTAATGAATATATTTATTTTTACAATACCAAAACCTGTATTTCTTTTTTAAATGAATTAAAGAATTAGTCATTTTTAAACTCTGTGATTAGAATAGTAGATTACATACTAGTCTGTGCTTAAAGACGCATACATTCACTAACACTAAACAATACCATCATGATATTATGTTGCTCATTCCTTCTTCGATGATTTATTACCGAACCAAGCATTGTTTTTCCATGCTTCTTGTTAAAATCCTTGAATTTTAAACTAGAGCAAAGTGTGAAAAAATTGATAAAATTAGGGGACTATTATTGTGAGTTTGTGATGAGTTGATTTTACATACAAGAGATGAAGCAAGCTGCAAAAATGCTTTGAGTAAACATGAGCTTCCCATGCACCAGGTATCTAGGATTGTTTATTCCTGATTCTCTTCAATGTGATGTAACCAGGTATGTGCATTACATTTTGAATAACTACACATTTTCATAGGCTGTATGCATTTTAGATGATTGTAATGAACAACATATTTTACTAAGGAACATAACAATGTTGGCTTGGTGATTACCTTTGAGAGTTCCGTTAGCACATACACGTTTTCCTACAGATATCTAGTCAAGGCTGTAACCTCATGATGGGAGTGTCTTCAGCAGATTTCAGATGGAATATCAGATATCTCTGTCCAGGAGAGTGCAGTACTAGGAACAGCTAAGATACTCCACAAAACGCTCAGACTCCTAGGTCTCTCATAGAGGACTAAGAATGAGGAATACACACGATGTCACCCAGAGTTGTGAGACAAAAAAATAAATCTAAGAGAAAAAATGTACTTAATATTATGCTCAACTCTGGTCTAGCAGAGGACCAGTGACCAGTGCTAGATTGAAGCCTGAACATTCACACTTTTGTACAAACTAAGTAACAACTAAAAGTCTCATTGCATTATGTCTAACATTGATCTGTAATTCAATTATGTCAGTAAAGGAGTTTAAGTTCTCTCTACACTGTTATGCTACTTGGGTTATTTGGATTGGAACTCAACTGCAGCTTGTATTATTATTATTATTATTATTGCCATTTATATAGCACCAACAAATTCCGTAGCACTTTACAATATTATGAAAGGGGATTTAACTATAAATAGGACAATTACAAATAAACTTACAGGAACAATAGGTTGAAGAGGACCCTGCTCAATCGAGCTTACATTCTATAGGAGGTGGGGTGTAAAACACATTAGGACAGGAATGTGCAATCAAATAAGGTGGGCTGCCCTTTAGGAGAGGGCAAGAGACGGGTATGTGAGGTAGGGGTTGTAGAACTCCTTAATTACAATAGTAAAGAAACAAAGAATCTTTAAAGTATCAATACTGTAGCTTTAAGAAAAGAGAGGATTGCTGGCAATTTGAGAATCAAACGAAGTTTTAATGATTGATAATCTTAAATGAATTGCATATAGGCAATAATCCAATAAGAAGAAAGTGCAGGTTATCAAACAATACAAAGTTCATTAATAAGTATTTCCTCAGAGAAGTATTAAATAAGATTCTTTAGGTTTCTGGGAATAATCTTCAATAGAAACATTAAGCAGGTAGCAGAGAGTATTTGCAAAGCAAGAAACAGTTCATAGTAAATAAGCATGATGGGAGTTGTCCTCCATATAATTAATAACTTGTAGCAGAGAAGATTTGAGCAAGCAGGAATTGGTTCATTAATAAATGATATTGCAGACAATAGTTGAAAAATATACTTAAGGTTAAAGTGAGTTGTCCTCCAAGAGTTCGGAGTTATAGTCCACTTGTAAATTAGCAAAGTATCCGTTCTCCAGTAATCCTTTATGGCATTCAGCAATCCTTGAATTGGCTCAAAGGCTTGGACGGTTTGTCAGAGCCTGTGGAGCCGGCGTGTATACCCGGAAGTAGGTCCCACAATCACCAAGCCCCTTCTCCCTGGCGCTGTCTCCCTAAGTACTGTCAGAGCTGCGTCAGAAGGGGGCGGGGCCGGCTCCGCAATGCGGAAGTGCCGAACCCGGAAGAGATACCGCATGACATACACAAACTGAATATATTATCAACCATTCCATTTCAATTGGATGCTTTAAGAAGGCTTTACTTTAGACATGAGATTTTTTTTTTGAGAATTTTTTATTTTTGATGTGCATGGTATAACAGTAGGCTTGCTCAGCCACAACAGCAGTCGCAAACAGAGTGATGATAGATACAGTAAGCGTGACATGGCATATGAATAGACAGCACAATATTTGTTTATGATGATAATAGGGAGAGACAGTGGGGAGAGACAAGATGTATTATAAGGTTCTAGCTTTAACAATAACATAAAAAAAACTTTAGATACCAGATTAGGTAGGCCTCTCTTGAGATGTACAACTAGTATATAATAAATGACATGCAGGGCAACCCTCGGTTGGGGGTAGTTAACTCCTAATTTACCTTGTTGTTTCAAAGAGGAAGACTAGTGCCTATTTTGTATGCTAGCACACAGTTAGATCTACCTCTTTCAGAGGTGTATTACAGGGTAAGTGTCCATCCATCAGGGATTATGAGATCTCCTATTTACTTTTAGGCAGATGATATATATGTTATTGTATATATTTTTGTCCACCGTCTTTTTTTATGCTGGGATACTCCACGTCCGACCAACAGGTTGTCTCTTTACCGTTCCGTATGTCTTTCAGATAGTGAATGCCACGTAGGGGTCGGGTGTGTGATCTGTCGGCACAAATGCGATGGATCTCGCCAGATCCCACGGGTGTTGAGGAGGCGTAGCACTCTCTTGACCTGTCTGTGCGAGGGAGTCTGGTGGTAGGCCCAGTGACTGTAAAAACGGCGTTGCGTCGCTCAGTTCCTTGATCTGATGGGTGTCCATGCCCTGCTGTACGGTGAGTGTGTGGGTCATTTGCCATCGATACTTGAGGTCTCTTTGGCGGAGAAGTGTGGTAAGAGGCTGGAGGGAATGTCGCCAAGCCAGGATGCCTCTCAATAGATCGGAGAAGAAGTTTAAAGCCATCCCTTCAAATTGGAACAGCGTATTTCCCCTCAAAGCATTCTGGACTGCTGTTTTGTCTATTCTGGTTTGGAAGGTAAGTATGACATCTTTTGTGGCCCCGGTCGGCGCCCTTGGAGGTTTGGGGATCCTGAATATGTTGGCAAGGGTAATCTTGTTGGCCCGCGTGGGTGGTAAGATATTTGCCAGGAGGCGTTCAACAGCTTGGGCTAGTTCTGCCTCGGGGATCACTTCTGAGATCCCTCTTATCTTCATGTTATTGCGTCGCCCAGCATCCTCCTGCTCCGCCATGCGGTGTTCATAGAGTCTTTGTTGTTGTTGAATGTCTTGTACAGTTTGTCTGAGTTCCCCAATGTCTCGGGTTGTGGTTTCAGCTGTGTGTTCCACTGCGTTTAGGTGGGTTGTCATCCCTTTTAGGTCGCCCCTCAGTGCAGTGATGTCGTTGTGCAGATCCTTGTGGTGGTCTGCGAGTAGCCGCGTGAGGGCCGCTATAGTCACCGGAGCGGTGTCTGGGCCTGAGTTAGTTGGCGGTCTCCCCAACTTGGTTGCCGGCAGGTACTCCTCTCCAGAGAGGTCGTCTGAAAAATCTGTGAAACCGCCATGAAGCGCCGCCATGTCGGTCCCGGTTGCCCCGTGGGCCTGTCTCCACATGTCGCCAATTGTCAGAGTGTTTCTCGGTTGGCGTTTTTTTGTTTTTTCACCCCATGTCGTTCGGAGGGGGTGTAATACGTCTTTGTGGTGATTTGGGGGTACCCAGCCTGGGTTTTTCCCCTGTTTTTCCCATTTTTCTCACGGAGCTTTCAGCCCTTGCGACTGCTTGTCTCGGTTGATCATAATTGAATCGACATGAGATACCTTTGAGTATTGTAGGTAGTTGTTCTTATTATTATTGTCAAATTATTCCACTGTACAATTTTCTATGGGGATTTATACCAGTCAGTTCCTGACAGTCAAAATAATTTGACAGAGGTGAACAGCAATCTTATAATCTAGGGTGTTGGGTACATTATATATAAAAATGACTAATGCAACAGTTCTGCGAGAATCAATGACATACATGTGTGCATATTATCACCAGTCATACCATGACAAAAAGGTTATAGCCCACTATATTGTCTCAGTGACTTACCAAGACATAGACAGCAACACCACCCCAATTTCCAATAAATCATAAAGTGTTTTACTAGACCTGACTTGTGGTGATATCATCTGAATTTTTAAAAATTCCATCCATCACAAAGGTCATCTATGTATTTTACTCAAATCCTTTTGCATATTAACATAAATGAAGGTTTTTAGTTCTACTTCAATTAGATGTAAGCCGAACTGCCACATCAAGGCAAACCTCTTAGGTGGGTCCTAAACTAACAATTCACCTTGCTTTCTTCAGCTTCAGACATTTACCTCCATTTATTTAAAAATGCATATGGATTTGGGATAGTGCGCAAGTAACTTTTTCTCTCTGTATGTTTTAGGGCTGATTTGTACTGTGGTCATTCCTGCCACCCAGGAATAGTGGGAGTCTGAGCGCAGTATTTATTTTTGTGTATTTGTATTTGTATTTGCTTTTGTATAACACAGCTATGTTACAATGCTGCTGGATGCCATGTGTTCCCTATTAAGGGTTAATAAGTATGTATTGAGGCTGCTATGTACTATGTTCATTGCTTCCGCCCAGGATTAGTGGTAGTCTGAGTGCAGAACTTATTTTTGTATATTTCCATTTTTTTCAGTTGTTGGAAAGGTATGTGGTTAAAGATTGAGCATAAATTGGAGATCAACATATTACCGGGTGTCTTATTGTGGAAAGCTGCCACGTTGTAATAAATTAGACAAGGGCTAGGTAAATTTTTAGCAGCACTGTGCCAAAAAAGACTTTTAAGTGTGTGTAAGTGTGTTAACTTGTGTGTATGTTGTCATGTACTCCACACTCTGCATGGAGGCGCTGAACAAGCATATAACGCAAACTCTATGGTTTGCTTACATTTTGTTTTGATCAGAATGTGTACAATTTTCTCCGTCCTTAAGAAGTTAATATGTATACTTGCACAGCTATAACTACACAGCCAATATATATATATATATATATATAATAGCTTTGGCAAACAAAAGAATAATAAAAAAAAAAAACAATTAAAAGTTGACTTGGTCTGCGGAGCACTAACATTCACCACTAACTATGGGTGGTCGGCTTACCCAGTGTCAACAAAATCAAACAAAACATGCAAAGCACAGATCTTTTCCAACTCAGATTTCCTCTTAGGAATAGATTAGTCTCTTGAGTCTCTCTCTCGTGAGAGTAATGCAGTTTAATTCACTGTGTACGTTCTCCCACTGAATCCCTGGAGGGAACATTTATTAGAAGCCTTCTACTGGTGGTGTTGTTTAAGGATCCAGAATTCATGGACAGGATTCTTTATCTGCTGTGGTGTATATGTAAACTGTGGAGTGGGCACCGGCCCTCCTTTCTCACCAAATTATGCACCCCAGGGCCTCAAATTAAATCATACTTTTTCCATAGTGATGCATGATGAAAACATTCTCCCTGGGGCAATTATACCACATATTGCACTGCAGCAATTTTGGAAAAATATGGAGGGGGGGGAAAGTATGCGGAGGGGGGAGAGAGAGAGAGAGCATTAATACAATTTCTTATGCAAAATGAACTTGTGAATTATTGTGCTAAAAACAGACACATAATTTATAAAATATGTTTTATATATTGTTAAACCTGTGGACATTATTTTCGTTTTTAGCTAGAGCCCTTTTCCTGTCTGTATAAACAGAGTGCACAGTACATCTTTTCACATTCCCCCAAGGAGTCTGTATTAATTCTTCTGCCCTCCTTTCCAAAAAAGAAGAGATGCATGAAGGTCACCAGAGAAGATTCATAAACCATTGTGAATAATGTCAGAACTCTAATTTAATTAGAGGCCCATCTGTCAGTTTCTGTTTGATGAGCAGTAAATGTCCAATTATCATTTAATACCTGCCCTAATCAGTGCTGGCAAATTTCGCAGGCACAAATGAGATGACATTAATAAATCAGAGAGCGGCTGTTTTTTTCGACAAAGAAAATAATAATGTATAATAGTATTTCAATAAGAAAAAAAAAATAATTCTAATTATTATAGAGTAAATAGTCATAGGCATAGAAATGAATAAAGCCTGATTTTTTAAAATCATCAGTAGTTTTCAGTTATGTGCAGTTACTTATTAGAAAAATTATTGTTTTTACTGTCCAGATTAGTTGAACAATTATAGAACATATAAATTGTATAATGCGAGAATTAATAAAAATATAAATGGATATATAAGAAAGAAATACAAAATGTAAATTTATTAGACCCTGCCACGTTTTTTTCTGATAATATGACAAACAAATATTAACAATTGCACAATATCACCTTTATGTTAAGTGACAATATGTATATAGAATGCAAAACCATTAAAATTTATTTTTTATTATGTACCTTAAATGTAAAGCCTTTCTTCAATATGTCTTCATATATGTAGAAAATGAAAAACAAAAAAACAATACTACTCTCTGTATTTCAAGAAAGAGAATTTGAGGGTGTTTCCATTTTAACAATGAACACTTGCACACTTTGAAACAGGGGTAGGCAACCTTTGGAACTATAGATATTGTGCACTACATCTCCCACAATGCTCTTAAAACCATAAAGTTGGCATAACATTAGCGGAGACATACTCCACAACATCTGGAAAGCCCAAATGTTGCCTAGACCTGCTTTTAAAGCAATCATCCTTGTTCCGATGAGTTTCTAGTGTGACCAACCAGCAAAATGTGTCAGTGTGACATAAGCATGCAAAGTTTGTGGTTGTGTAAGTAACTGTAGGGTAGCGACAGAGAGGGAAAACCACTGACTTTTAAAGATATATGCATTTAGTGAGCAAACTATGGTCATGCACTCACATTTTAAGTTTGTAAGCTGCTTATTAATTTGCATTTAAGAATATTGGGTTAACTGCGACACATTTTTTATTCTTGTTCCTTCTGTTTTGGGGGTATCCTGAGTAGAAGAAGAGATTTGAAGAGCTTTAAAATGCCTGATTGTGCCAAAGATGTATTTCTCCATACTGAGTATTTCGCCAGAGCAAGGTTGTTTGCTCTAAAGAGTGTAAACGTGCATTTTTAAAGTTAAATCACCATCACCATCTTTTTTTTTCTTTTTTTCTTGACAACGCAAAGAGAGGGAACATAGTGAAAGGGATTACTTGCCTCTCTGGTATACAATAATCCTTCACCTAACCACACATAGAGTGAAGAAAGATGTAAGTGCAATTCATCCAGTAATAGTACCCTACACAACACCATATTGTATGAAAAAAGGGCAAAAAAAGTCATAGTGTCCACTATGTTACTTTTTTAATTACTGTATAAAACAAAATTTGTATTTCTGCTGGTATGCTAATATTTAAGTCCCAAAAGCTTCAAAACAGAATATGTCTAAAACATTATAATAATTTTTTTCTTTTTAGAACTGATAGCGTGGGAAATTAACTTGTGAATGCCATTTTTACATACTGCGGTAATTGAATTATTTCTGTGCTAAATAGCCGTTTGGTGAACTTTTTTAAGAAATGAAGATATTCTGGTGTAACACAGCCAAATTCTGCCTTTAATATGTTTTTTTTTTATTTTCGTCATTTAATTTTTATTGAGGAAATAAAAAAAAAACAATAATGTCATCATAAAAATTGGAGTCCAAAATCCAACAAAATAAATAGTCACATATGTACCATGTACATGGCTGGAGGTACATATCCGATGCCTCTAGGTACAGAATTCTAAGGTGCAATCTGCTCATCCCACCGCTCCCCCCCTCCCCCACTCCCATAAAAAAAGCAACACAGATAAAGTGAGTTAATAAATTTATTAACTGGACACTACAGGCATAAAACCCATTAAAATGTATAAATTCACATGTGAAAATTGCATATGTCAATATGTATGTACATATTGCTTTTTTAATGTATTGTGTTTGAATCTGTGAGTGTATGTAGCCGTGTAAATGTATGCAGGGTCAAAGGTAATGTTAGAAGTAATTAGGATAAAGGGAGGTTTAAGGTAAGGGAGGTGTTAATTTCAGAGTTAGATTACTTAAGGTGTTAAGAGGATTAAAAGATTGAGAGAGTTTATAGTTGTAGTATAAATGGTGTTTAGGATTAATGAGTTTAGGGCTAGAGTGAGGTTAAATTGAGTGTTGGGGTAAATGGGGTGTTTACTTTTTAAGATGAGTTAAACCTAGGATTAAGGTACAGAGGTTTTTGGGGGGTTTTTTTTAGGCACTCTTAAACTGAGCCACAGGACAGCCCAGTGGGCACAGTTAAGGACGGAGAAATGTAGCAATCATAATTCCTTTGTGAGGTCCAACAAGTAATGAAAGAGCCTTATAACTGAATATTGCCAAATGTAATAGAGGAGATTCATTGAAAATAAAATGAGTTGTACATTTAAGGTTGAACACTAAAGAAAAAAAGAAATAAAACACAAATGTAAATTGTTGTCGACATTAGGGCTGTCTTTAATGCAGGGCAAAAAGGGGCAGTTGCCCCGGGTCCAGTTATTCCTGGGGGTCCCAGAGCAGTTG